GCAGCCTCGACCTGCTGGGCTCCAGCAATCCTTCCGCCTCAGCCTTCCGAGTAGCTGGAACTACAGGCGTGCGCTACCACGCCGGGCTCATTTTTGATTTATTGTAGAGATGAGGTCTCGCCAAGTTGCCCAGGCAGGTCTCAAACCCGCGGGCTCAGGCAATCCACTCACCTCGGCCTCCCAAAGCATGGGATTACAGGCTGAGCCACCGAGCCCGGCTGATATTTTTTTCTTCTAAAGCATAAATGAAGTAATTCAGAGCAATAAACCTAGGTTCCACATAATACTAGAGTAAATATTCTTTCTCTGAATTCTGTTTTCTCATCTCAAGAACCAGATTCTCTACCTTAATAATAGTCTTAAGCCATTTTAGACTTTATAGAGCAGTTAAGTATAGATTGTCTAGATTAATTTCATTTAATTCTAAACAACTGCCAGATAGGCATTATTTTTGCCCTTTCTGAAAGACCAGGAAACTGAGGGTTAGATGGATGGTTAATACTTCCTCTGCCCGACGAACAATGTCTCTCATCTCCAGGCCTGTAGGGAAGCAGCCTCCTTCCCTTGCCTGAAACACCTTTCCCTGACGATCTCTTTCTTTGCCTAGCTAGCTATTATTCATCCTATCAGCTAATCTCTCCTCACACGGCACTTCCTCCATAAGCTGAGCCTAGCTTTCATCTTTTAGTACATATGTATTGAGTGCCATCTAGAAACAAAGGATGCCACAAGGTGCTGAGGATACAGTAGTGAAAGGACAGATGCCATCCCTGCACTTGCCCAGCTTAGCACCCAACTGTAGCGAAAGACATCAAACAATGGACTGTGCCGTTAATCAGCTAATCACAGCTGTGGTAAAAGCTACATAGTCAAAGGACAGTGATATACCAGCGTGGGTCGGAGCCTGCCCTCTGTGCTCTCAAGACTTTCTTGTTGTAGCACTTATCACGCTCTACTGGCGTTAGCTGTTTGTCTCTATTCTCCACTATGAGTGAGGTTATGGACAGTAACTGGGCTGTATATTCATAGCATGGTATAAGTCCTATAGAATAAAAACAATTCATAATTATTTGTGGAATGAGTGATTAAGTAAGCCAATGGACTTGCCCAAAAGACTAAATCAATGAGTCAGGATAAGACAAACTTAGGACTCCAATTCCCATACTTTTGTCTCCATACACATTACCCAGAAATGGCAACGATTCTAATAAAATTTAAAGCTAGCCTACTACACAATGCAAATACAAAAGAATTAACCTATACAGACACATGATTTCTAGACCATGCCCACCTGTAAACCTATGCACATACCGAGATCATACAGCATATATCTATTTTTTTTTTTTTAGTTAGAGTCTCATTGTCCACCAGGCTGGATTGCTTGATCCCAGCAGATCGACACTGGGGTGGCTGAAAGCATACCACTGCACTCCAGTCTGGGTGATAGAGTGAGACTCCAACTCAAAAAAAAGAAAAAAGAAAGTGCTATAGACCTCATTGCTGAATATCACTACAGTCACCTTCGAAGTACTCTCCTTGGGAAGCTATGCACTTGACACCAGCGCCTAGTCCATCTGTCAAAGCAATTTTGAAACTCTTTTTCTGGAATGACCAAAAGAGCTGTCATCATGAGAACATCGGAGTTTGAATTAGAGCAATGAACAAACATTAAATTCTTGTTAAACTTGGCAAAAGTGGAAGTAAATCAGGGACATGTTAGCCCATATTTATGGGGACAATGCCATGAAGAAAACGACAGCATACAAATGGATTAAATGTTTTTCTGAGAGGAGAAAGCATCACTGATGAAGAGAGGTCAGGACAGCTAGTAATGAGCAGAAGTGATGAAAACATTGCAAAAATGCATCAAATTGTGCATCCAAATCATCAGCTGACCGTGAAAAGCATAGCAGACCAAATAAATATCAACAGAGAACCAGGAAAATCTTAACTGAAAATCTTGGAGTAAGAAAAGCATGTGCAAAAATTGTCCCGAAGGAGCTCTTGCATCATGATAATGCACCAGCTCACACAGCACTGTCTGTAAGGGAGTTTTCAGATAGTAAACAAATAACTGTATTGGAACACCCTCCCTACTTATCTGATCAGGCCCCCAATGATTTTTCTTTACCCAAAGATAAAGGCGATATTGAAAGGAAGAAATTTTGATGACATTCAGGACATCAAGGGTAATGCAACAATGCCTCTGATGGCTATTCCAGAAAAAAGAGTTCCAAAACTGCTTTGACAGGTGGACTTGGCACTGGCGTCAGTGCGTAGCTTCCCAAGGGGAGTACTTCAAAGGTGACTGTAGTGATATTCAGCAATGAGGTATGTAGCACTTTTTCTAGGATGAGTTTGTAAACTTATTTGTCAGACCTCATAGGCTGTTTTCATAACATGTTTAAAATGATTCTTTTGGCAGAATGGTTTATTAGCAGTTTCGGGATTGTATTTGTAATTTCTATGAATTCAAGGAAAATTTCAGTATTCAGTAAAATTGAATTGAAAACTTGTCAGATCTTATATGTCACTAAAGGGAATTAGCACCATCTAGTGAAAGAAGTTGGCAAAACTGAAGATCAAAAGAAAATGGCAGTATCAGAAAGCAGCGTAACTGTATAAGGAAGTATAGAAAACTGTAGCACCAACACTCTATTAAAATTATGTTTTATTAATTTATACTGGATTCTAACAGACTTTATTAATATTTCAAGTATTCTAAAAATGTAACACTCAGTATAATCAATCATTAACAAACTTGCCAGAAATAGTCCAACTATAGAATGTTTAAAAGGAAGATAACTTGCTATGTTGGAATTGTCATTAAATAAGTACAACTCGTTAACACAATTTCCTGTCTTCTAACTTGTAGCCAGATTTAAAGGGCCTTGACTTTATCCTGTTGATCTTGAAAAGCCAAAACATTTTTGAAACAGTGAAGATTAGTTTGGTGGCTACATACAGGACAGATTCACATGGAAAGCATGTCAAAGAAAGACTAACCAGTTGGAAGTTGAAGACAATCGAGACAGGAGACGTCATGGCCAGAAGTGAGACGGACACAAAGCTTCTGCAGAGAATGAGGAATGAGTGGCCATGGGACTAGGGCATCAAACCTTTTCCTATCTTTTCTGCCAGTCAAACTGGTAGAAACCGGAAGCTTGTTCTTAAAATACTTCTCTTTTTTCATGTCATTCCCCCTACAAGAATATAATCCCCCCGAAAAGTTTGAGCACAGATGTTCAATAAATAATGATGTCATGAAAAGAACATGCACATGAGATCACTTACACAACGGCATCACTGTGGTGGAAATAACCAACAACACAGGAGGTGCCTCCCTCTGTTTTTTAAAGAGTCTTCTTGTAGAATACAGAAGAAATCTTATGTTAGTTAGGTACACTACCAACGTTCAAATTTGTGATCACTGCATCATGATGACAATTTTTAGCTGGTGGATGAAAAATCAATTTGAAGTAAGTTAGTCCTTTTAGCTGTATCTTTGGATAAAAGGATCAACTCATCTATTATCCCATTTTCCTCTCAATTTCAAGATTAGATTGCCTATCCCCAAAAGATGCCATGATGACAAAGATTAGGGTTTACACTGAAGATAAAACCAAAAAGAGCATACGGCCTTTAAAATTCACTTCTAATATTTCAATTATACAGCAAAATTGTCAGTGTAGCAGGATAAAAATAAGTTTCATGGAAGCTACTTCTACTCTAAAATTCTAAAGCAATCCAACCAAAATTTTCATTTTCCTAAGTCTTTCACTTAGTACTGCCTAAGAGTATTTTGCCTCTAAAAGGTATGACATAAAATCTCTATTCACTGGAATACTGAACCAGTGTACTCCAATAAGAATGATCACTTGGACATAGACAGCTCCAAGACACTTACCTGAGTTCAGGAAGAACTGAGGAGAATCTCCATGAATGCCCACGGTGCCTGGTCCCAAGGAGTCAGACAGGGTATTCACAAAGGAAAATATTCCACTCATGATTCCAAAGCCCAAGCCAGAAACTAAAGAGAAAGAAAAACACTGTTAAACCCTTTTCCTGCAAAGATTTATTTTCAAATCAAATTTCTAAGGACGAAGTAATATGATTTTGTGGGAGGGAAAAGCAGCGGACGGTTGGCTGGAAGGGCAAGTGCTTGGTTAAATGGTGAGTAAAGAGAGAAGGAGAAAGGGCAAAGGAAAAAAGCGATGGGATGCAGCAAAGAACTGAAAAAGGAAAGAACAACAAGATCTAGAAAGGCACAGAAGAAATGGGTGAGACTCAGGAGGACATGACAAGGAGGCTCTGCCTTTGTCTATGATAACAGACTTCACAGAGTTAAGTTTGACGGCTCAGGACTGGAATTGAGCTTAAGGAGGGGACTATGTGTTCTTAGGCCAAACTGGGGGAACTAGAGCCCACCTTTAAAAATAATTCTGACAGAATTGTAAAGAGACCCACTACTACTAATTCATGATTGGTTGTACAGGGTTACTGCCCGGCTCACAACTGCAATCCTTAGAATTATAAGACTGTGCTGACTCTCCCGGAGCAGAATGAGTCACTGACCCTATGGCAGTATTCACACAGTTAGTAAAATAGATTTTTATTCATTTCTATGATCAATAGTTCAAGTTAGAAATACAATTATATTGATCTTGTAACCATAGCCAGTAAACTCTTTTGTTTTGTTGTACCCACTAGCTGATAATGATATATCACAATGAAGAATGTTTTATTTTGAAGTAAGCTCCACTGACTCCTTTGCTTAGAGTTACTGATAAACGAAAATTACAGGTTCCTGGTAACAGGTACCAAGAAAATAAAAACAGTGACTGTTATAACTGACAAAACGCAATTGTAACTGGAATCCTACAGAATGCTTTGTAAGTCATGTTGTTTGATGTTAATCAACAGCAAAGCTCAATGGTTACACATATAGACTGTAAAATCCAAGGAGCAGAGCTTGGTATCTGTACTGGTTTGTTTCCTTGAATTCTAAATTCAGAAATAAACTTCTTTCTTTCTAGTTCCCAGTGTCTCGGGTTTCATTGGTGAACGAGAGAGCAGCTGTGTGTTCCATGGGGCATTTCAGAATGATGTACAGAGGTATTATGGCATTAATATGAAGAGTCCTCCTAGAACAGCCAAAGTCATGGTAAACAATTACATCACTCAGAAAAATCTTAGTGACTAGAGTGTATACATGTTAAAAATTTAGCTTTCAAACTGGGTTAACACTTAATGAACATACAGATAAAAATCACCTGCAATCACTCTCCTTTACACAAGGAATCTAGAAAGTGGGAAAAGTAAGCAGACAGTGTATGCCCTAGGCCACAGTGATAAAATACTCTGACACCTACAAAGACACAATAGATAAAGATGGCTTTAGCCAGGGGCAGTGGCTCAAATCTGTAATCCTAGCACTTTGGAGGTGGAGGTGAGAGGATTGCCTGAGCCCAGTGGTTTGAAACCAGCCTGGGCAACTTGGTGAGACCTTGTCTCCACAATAAATAAAAAAATCGTAGGTTCGAGACCCACCTGGGCAACTTGGCGAGACCTTATCGCTACAATAAATCAAAAAATCAGCCAGGCGTGGTAGCACATGCCTGTAATTCTGGCTACTCGGAAGGCTGAGGCGGAAGGATTGCTGGAGCCCAGGTCGAGGCTGCGGTGGCCGGGAGCGGCCATTGCACTCCAGTCTGGGCGACAGAGTGAGACTCCAACTCAAAAAAAAAAAAAAAAAAAAAATCAAAAAATGAGCCAAGTGTGGAGATGTGTACCTGTAGTTCCAATTACTTGGAAGGCTAAGGCAGAAGGATTGCCTGAGCCCAGCAGGTCAAGGCTGCGGTGGCTGTGAGCATGCCACTGTACTCCAGCCTGGGTGACAGAGTGAAACTCTAGCTCAATTTTAAAAAACAAACAAACAAAAAACTGGCTTTTATGCCAAGTCTGATTTTTTTCTCAACAACTCCTTGGAATTCCAACTTACCATAGGCCAGTAGTCGCATAGAGGGTGCTGTCTCATCTGGGTTTATGCTCTTTAAACCCTCACTTGCTTTTCTAAAATAAAACCACATATGCAATTAAGAAGGCAAAAGTAAAAGCAGTATATCAGGAAAGTACACAAGACACTTTAAACCCAGATACTTACTGAGGCATTGGGTAGGTTACACTCCAGAATTCATTTAAACAAAACCCAGCAAATTTTCAATGAACTGAAATCACCAAAATTTCCAACCAACCTTTGCCTTGTATCTGACTTTCATGTAAAGAATAAACATAATAAAAATGCAAGTGAATGAGCCATCAGTAGCTGAGTTTACTAAGAAAAAACTCACAACACTCTGACTACTCTCTAAGCTCAATAAATATTTAATTCAGCATCTTACAGGATCTAACACTCCGAATTTTTTTCGCTTCCCAAAGTACTGAATCTTCATTCCCACATTGTCGGCACTTTGTTGTATCTTCCACTAGGGCTATGCTTATTCTGCCACCCTTCTTGTACCTTCGCTTTCCAGGGAACCTCAACTATACTCTCCCTTCAACATCCAGCTCAGACAGCAGTTTGTTAAGGCAGCTGCCTCTACCAGTGGTTGGTAATCATTAATCTCTCCTTAGTCCTAAGCCCTATAGTACTGATAGCCTGAATGCTCATGTGGGTACCTAATCATATGAGCTTTTTGATTCTAAAATATTTCACGTATTTGCTATATATTCCCAGTTGGGCTTCAGGGGGAGAAAGCAGTCTGCTACTTTTATTGTATCCTGCAGAATAAAATGCTACTCTCTGAATAGGGGATAAATGAATACTTGGATGAAAGGACAGATACTTCTCAATAATAAAATGATCTTCTGAGTAACCTTTTCTTTTTTTTGAGTTGGAGGTCTTACTCTGTCACCCAGGCTGGAGTGCAGTGGCACAATCACGACTCATCACGGCCTCGACCTCCTGGGATCAGGTGATCCTTCCACCTCAGCGTCCCCTCCCTACCCCACCCAATAGCTGGGACTACAGATGAGTACCACCATGTCCACTAATTATTTTTGTTGTTGTTGTTTTGTAGAGATGGGGTAAAGCTGGTCTCCAACTCCTGGGCTCAAGTAATCTGTCCGCCTCAGCCTCCCAAAGTGCTGGGGTTATAGGCGTGAGACACCATGCCACACTCTTCAGAGTAATCTCATCTATGCTTCTGTTGTGGCCAGTTCACAATTTTGCCATAAGACCTGCCACCATGCACGTGCGTCAGGAAGGCTAGGTGAGGCAGTTCAGCTCTACTACCACCAACATGCCAATCTTTGTTGACTAGAAAACTGCTATAACAAATGGGAGATGCTGACCTCAAAATATTTAAGTTATATTTACTACAAAGTATGTTTTTAAAGCAACGAAGAAACCAGAAGATTTTAGAATGATTTTTGAGCAAGTATTGAAACAAAAGAGTCAGGTTGACTCTAAGAACAATTAAATTAACCAAAACATACTTATTTTCTGGGCACTGTGTTCTTTTAAATTTCAGGGTATGCATATTCATTATAGTTGGCTTATTCATTGCATACATATCAATATAATTAATGACATTAAATTAAGGCAATGCAGGATGCAAGCAAACTAGTAATAAGCCTAATAAACGGGGTCCTTTGCTTTTCTAGACTCTAGAAACAATTTACCATGTCTTCTGAAAGGGTTTGGTAGTGAAGACAGGAGCCAGAAATGGAAGTGACTAGCTTCCTTTCTGGAGCAGTAATAAGTAAAATATCCATTTTCCTAAATAAAATAAATGTACCTGTCATAGTGAGGTTGTTAAAGGCTAACTAAATCTTATGAGATGCATAAAACAGATCAACATGGTCGAATCCATACATTTTGGAGGATTTCTGTTTTATATAAATTACTCAGTAATAAATAAAAAATCTTGGCCAGGCACAGTGGTTCACACCTGCAATCCTAGTGCTTTGGGAGACCAAGGCAGGAAGACAGCTTGAGGCTAGGAGTTCGAGGCCAGTCTGGGCAATATAGCAAGACACCGTCTTTATAAAAAAAAAAAGTTAGCTGGGCATGATGGTGAGCCCAAGAGTTTGAGGTTATAGTGAGCTCTGATCATACTACTGCACTCTAGCCTGAGTAACAGAGTGAGACCCTGAGAATCAATCAATCAATAATCTTAGCTATTTGGTATAGCAAAGTACTACTATCACAAATATAGGAAATGTATAAACTCAAAAGTTGAATTAAATTTCTCATTCTATTTACAGAAGTGGGAAGAAAGGTTATAACACTAACAGTTCTGAATGTTAATATTAGGAAGTGAGAAAGTGCAAACCATGATCTGTTTCCATGTTCACTTCTGTTTTACTGAAGTAGAAAATTCTTTGTTTGTACTTATTATTGTGTTTCTAAGAGCAAAAAAAAATCCCAATTTTAAAATAGAAATTCTGAAAAACTACTGATAAGTCATACCATCTTTCTTGTTCTGTATCACAGCACTCTGGGAGGCCAAAGTGGGAGGATAGCGTGAGCCTAGGAATTTGAGACCAGCCTAGGCAACATAGTGAGACACCGTCTCTACAAAAATATTAAAAAATGAGCTGGGCATGTTGGCGTGTGCCTGTAGTCCCAGCTACTCAAGAGGCTGAGAAGGGAGGATCACTTAAGGCCAGGAGGTCAAGCCTGCAGTGAGCCGTGACTGTGCTCCAGCCTAGGTGATAGAGCGAGACCCTAACTTAAACAAACAAAACTAGCAGTGGCTATCTTACAGTCTTTACAATTTTTCTATACGTGGAAGATTTTCTGAAATTTCAAAATATTTATGGTTCAGCATTATAAGACAAAATTGAATCAAATGATAAAAGTTTCAAATCCAACAGAAAGAATCTAATATTTGTTTTAGGCAACACACAGGAGTTTTAAGTTGCATAGAGTTGCATAAACTGTTTTTGACAACATACAATTAATAATGTTTTAGACAACATAGCTTGGAATTTTTTAAAATTACTGTAAGAATGGGCTACCACTTGTGGCCATATGACAATTTCTTACCGTGCAAGGCCTTGCCAAGTTAAAAGTTACTATTCATTCATTCAAGATGAAGTCTGTCTCTAAGGCTTAACCCATATTAGAATCTATCTAATCTATTAGAATATTCTAACAAATCTAATTATTAGATTACAATGATTACTATTTCGACCCAATTCCATATGTTTATAAAACCTGGGGCAACCTTTCTGCACGTTAATCTTTTTTTTTTTTTTTTTTTTTTGAGTTGGAGTCTCACTCTGTTACCCAGACTGGAGTGCAGTGGCCGCTCCCGGCCACCGCAGCCTCGACCTGCTGGGCGCCAGCGATCCTTCCGCCTCAGCCTTCCAAGTAGCCAGAATTACAGGCATGCACTACCACGCCTGGCTGATTTTTTGATTTATTGTAGAGATGAGGTCTCGCTGCCCAGGCGGGTCTCGAACCCGGA